GCCGCATATGTCATGATTTCAATTCTAATTCCAGCACATTTGATCTAACAGACTCACTCTTTACCATTAAAAAACTTATTTTATCTACTCTCAACAAGTAATATTTAAAAATTATAAACTTTAGTTTTAGTTCTAAATTTTGGCTGTTTAAATTTTTGTTTCTGTAACTGAGCAGCTTAAGATCACAACGCTTAAAACTCTCTTGCCTTTTATGACTCGGCTATTTCCGCTCATTCGCGGATTGCTCCCTTCGCGTCGGTTGGGCGGGAGGAGGGTAATCGTTGGGTATTATTATATATCCTTAACTTTTTAATTACATGTCTTCAACGATCTCTCGACCTTCTTTGAAGGTTTTATACTACTCTTAGGCTTGTATTTTTGATAAAACTGAATCACTGGATGCCTTTTCCAACATTCGCAACGATTCTGCATACGAAACAAAAGTTAAGACTTAAGCAGCTGTAGTAGACAAGTTCGTTGAAAGACATTTTTTTGAAATACCGTTTATCCTCGGAATTTAAATTATAATTTCCGCGTACGATTCAGCACCTGTCACATGGCATAGACGTATTTCGAATCACCGTAATTTCTTTCGCGCTGTTGACATGACCCTTTTTTGAGCGATTGACAAATTGTTTGATATCCAACGTGAACAAATTTTGCTTACATTCAAATGTTCATGTAATATTAAATGTATGCTGGTCCCACTAATGCCACTAAATTTAACTATAAGTCACATGACGCTCTTGCAACATAACATTAATAGTTTTCGCAATCAGAACTGATTTTGGACAATCTTTACGAAATCTATTTTAGAGTGACCTACGATTTCTATTACATTGTATATACATATATATTCGTATATATGACGAATTTTTGACAAATGTGATTTTTGTATGAACCAACATAATCAAAATAAGCCGCTATAAAAATTAAAGTCCACTTTACAATTTTGAACTTTATTGAATATTTTAAAAATATTACAAACAAGAATTTTTCAACTATTAGTAGCTACAAAGATATTACAGTAATATTTCTACCAAATTTCAAGTAAATCGACTGTTTGAAATATCGTGACGACCGCTTCGAAAAAATTAGTTTCGAAAATGCTAAACCAGCCGAGCTGACACAAACTAAAACGACTATAACTTTTGAAATAACTGAAATTTTGAATAAATATTTTTAAAAGATATTTTTGAATATCTAAGCTATAGAAATATAAGAGCGATTTTTACAAATATCTAATCCAGTATAGATTTAAAGCGAGTTGTGCTCTTCTGTTTCTATATTTGCTTCCATATATAGCGATTTCCATATCTCCACAGGTTTACAAAAAACTATTAACTATCAAAACTTTTGTGTTCTAAACTTTTTTTCAATTCAGGACGCTCTAAGAATTTTTTTATTAAACTTGTTGAATGCCTTATTAAATTAAAAAAAAAATTAAATAGAAAATAAAACGCCAGCGATTCGATAGAACTTTACAAATTCGTAAATAAAATACTATATGAGCTCTATAAATCATGCTTTTGACATCCTGTTATTGTTTTAAATATATCAATATATGTATACTGTAAAATATTAGATGTTTAATTTTATTTTTTTGGATCATCTGTCTTCATACATACATATGTGTTATTTTTATTAATTTATGTAAATATGTCACCCCATTTTGAATGGAACTGAATTCGTGCTACCCACCTGCGCAGCAATTATTTTGTGCCTCATGAAAGGCGCTTCATATCTATATACACTCTTAAATACATAAATATTATTTTTTCAGCGATAACTGTGCAATATGCATTCAATACTAATGAGCTGCTACAAATTGGCCAGCAACGGTCAGCAGTCATTGAAGACTGGCGAAATGTTTAGCTTTCACTGAAGATCGCTTGTTTATTCTACTTACATATATACACATGCACTTGATGTCAAGTCACTCCACATTTCTATTGTTAATAAGAGGGCTATATAGTACATATTTTTGAGATGACGAAAACTGCAGCATTTCATATAGGCATACTTAAGCATTGTTGTATATGTTTCCATATCCATTTGGCATATAAAATAACACAAATATTAGGGTGTGTTTCACTTCTCAAAAATAGCTTTGAATACAGAAATTACATCCAAAGTAAACAGAACTTAAAAAAAACAGAACAAATGGTTTTTTTTTTCAGAAAAATCGATTTATTTTATTCAAAATAGTCTCCTGTGATACAATACAGCTTGCACGGTCCAAAGGCATGTCAAACGCGTGCTTTAGCTCGTTGGCCGGCAAGCCTTTTGAATGGCCTCTACGTCTGCATAACGCTTCCTTTCATGGGAAAATGCACTTTTCCGAAAATAAAGAAGTCGCAAATGTGATTTTTGGTCAAACAATCTTCCTTCGAATGTTGGATTCTGAGCAATTTTTGGTCGTCAGTCATTTTGTGCGAAATAATTCGTAAGCCCAAATATTCAGTCAAAATGCGATAAATCGATGTTTTGGTTTTGTTCAATTCCATTTCCATGAATCAATGATGATTTCGGCTGATTTTCGATGAATTCACGCACAGTTTCGATGGAGTTTCCGGTGATCACGGATTTTAATTGGAACATATGTTGCTCGTCATTTATGTCCTTACAACCACTTTGAAAACGTTGAAACCACTCGTGCACTCTGTTATGGGATAGGCAGTCATCACTATAAACTTCCATCTCCATGAGAACTTTCGAAAACCGGGGGCTGGCAGTGAGGAAGATTTTTCTGCTTAAAATTATTTCAAATCCGAAAAAATCCGAAAAAACCAAACAGTTTTCACAAAAGTAATGATAAATCCAGTAGTTAATCGAAAGAATACTTTTTTTTTTACAAAATGGCGGTTTCTCAAAAAAAAAAAAAAAAAAAAAAAAAAAAAAAAAAAAAATTAAAAAAAAAAAAAAAAAAAAAAAAAAAAAAAAAAAAAACGGTTTTGTGACCGAAATTTCTGCCTTAAATTGTTTATAAAAAAAAAAAATTAAAATCTTCGATTAATTACTAAAAAATATATTAAGGAAGTTTGTGCTAAAATGTGAGACTAATTGCTTTAGCGATTTTCGAGTAATGTACTTGTACTTTCCAGCGCTCTGAAATGAATTTTCAAATTTGTGTTTAACTTCGAAAATATTTACCGGAACATTATGAATTTTTCTGAGAGTTCTCTTAAATGTATTTACATTGAGAAAATAGAATAAAAAATCGAGTTTTTGAAAATTTGGTTATGGCCCCAAAAATTAGTCTGATTTCAACAAAAAATTGGATTTTGTTTGAAAAAAAATTAAACTTCAGTGTCGTTTCTGAAAAATTTGCCTCACTAACCCAAGAAAAGCCAAAAGACGCGTTTAAAGTTTTAAAAGCCGATTCAACTTGTTCTAAAAATGTATACTTTGTTCCTTTTTCCGAAACTATTTGGAGATCAAACCAACTTTTCCAAAAATTTTCGTAAATATTTGAACACTCAATGTATATTCAAAGAAAAAATTGATTTTTTTTGTTAATTCAAAACTGGGTATTATTCCTTAACTTGATAATAGCATGATCTATTCAATCCTAGATCTAAGTACGAATCATAAGATCGAATATAGTTGTGAAAAGTCCGTTTTGCTTTTTACTTAAAAAAAACACATTTCGTCTTGAAAATAGTGAAGATATTTCTATATTTATAAAAAAAATTTAAAAATTATTCGGTTCTAATTGACTTTTAAATCTCTCTTACATTCATCTTTATATTTGGAAACTGTATTTTTCTATACCCTGAACAAATACATTAAATTTGCTACGCTGTGTGTAAGAAACGTCGAAGGACAAAAAAGTTTATTAAATAAAAATATATATTTAAATGATCAGTATAATGAGCTAAGTTGATCAAATCTCTAATCAATGCCAAATTGCTTGAATATATCTTCTCAAGAACTTATCAATCAGTCTGTATGGCTGCTAAATGCTAAAGAGATACGATATTGATTGTCTCGACAAATTTATAGCTTCTTTAGGAGGAAAGGACGTGCACAAAATTTCAGATCGATATCTCAAAAACTGAGCGACTGGTTTGCGCATATACAGACATACACCCGGAAAAGGCTAAATCGACTAAGCTGGTCATATTGATAATATATATAGGGTTCATAGGGTGACCATTCGAATATACCCTATTTACTGTGTAAATTGTATTGTATTTACTTTGAATTCCTCCTGGTCTACTATATGTGCCATAGACCCGTAGGCGAGTTGCTGGCGAATGTAAAGTATATGGAATATATTTATGTACTAACACATTCATATTAAATAGCTTTCATTGCAAAATCTTAATTTTCTCTTGTGAGTTTTCTTTAATTTAAATGAAATCACACAAAATAAAATGTTCGACATCTATTTCGGTGTATTCGCTATTTTTAGACGCCGTGCCCAGATACCAAACGCACATACTGTGTGCATCGCACTGTGGATACGGCATCTAACATATTCACGGAATGTTCATATGTATATACATATATGTTTGTAATATACCTATGTAAGTACATACATACTTGTATGTATAATTCGCTAAGATATTAGAGACCAAATGTTAACGGTAAAATGAAGAAAGTCTGAAGAAGATATGATGGACCGACAGCCGAAGTTTAGCATTCGTATTTCATTTGTTAGAGTTCGGCAGCGGCATTAATGCATCGTTGAAGCGTTTCCAAAGTTTACCGCACACTGCCAAAAACTCGGAGAAGTTTATATACGCTCACTACCCACGTACTATGTGGACTTGAGGCAAGCATATGTTCCCATATAACTGCATATGCCAGTGTGGAACGTGAGAGCGCGGCGAATTCGGTTTCGCCACAACATAAAATGCTATGCAGTTGGCTAATACAAGCCGTTTTTTTTTTTTTTTCTTTGCGTTTTTATTTCTGCTTTTGTTCGTTTCGACAACAATTTTGCGCTGTTGGCCAAGCCTACGCAAGAAAAATGATCTGGTGAGCGAATTCTGATCGAAATATAGTCTGCCGTGGATCGTCGGACCGTTCAGTCTTTTTCCGTTCGAACAGTGTTCTCCGATCTGTGAGGTTGCTCGCACACCTATTTTTTAATTCCTTTAAGGTGAGTGCTATCAGCTGCTGTGGCTGAGTAAAAGGAGTGCAGATGCTGGAACTTAAATTTTTTTTTTTTTTTTTTTTCAAAATTTTCTTTGAGCTGTGTGGCAACGCAAATGGAAAAATATACGATATTTACATGTATTAAACTTTAAAAAGGAGCAAATGTGTAATAATGACGACGAAAATGCATACACTGCAATAAAAATTAACGTTTTATGTGAAGTGAAGACTTAAAAGATTAAAAAAAAAAAATTAAAAAATTATTAAAATAAAAAGACTATACTTATTAGCTGAAAAATTAAGTGTATCTGTTATATATATATTTTTAAGTGTACCACGTTCGGATATCATAGCAATTACATAACCCTCTTTCATTATAAAAATATATTCGAATACGTTTATGAAAACGTACGAAATTGCGGTTCGGTTACATACCGTTGAAGGATACGCGCATGCATACACACACGCGGCAATATATACAGAAAACTCGCATATACTAAGAAAAGCACAAATATATTAACTTAATCACGTTTACATATATACATGCACATACACACATACACAGAAATAAACATAAACACATACATATTTACAATACATATAAACTATATACACACTCATACTCATACACAACTCTCTAACTCACGCAAGTAAGGCGTTCACGAAAATAAAAATTAAAAAATAGTACAGATTTTTACTAAAAAGTACGATTCCTTAGCGCTCAAGTTAACTCAAAGCATTATTAGCAACGCTAAATCGGTTGTGTGTAGCGCTGCCAATGTATGTACCTATGTATATGTATGTCTGAATATGTACGTATATATATTATATATGCAACTTAGTCTGAAAATAGAAAATTTCTCTATACGCCAGCTAAGTGGCTGCCCAAAGTATACAAGCGCTAGAGCCGAAAACTGATCGTGTGTGCGCCAGCATAGCAAATTGTGTGAACAAGAGGAAATGCTAAGAATTTTCCGAATTCTATTAACTCACATACAAACATGCTTATTTACTTCGATTAAAACTATAACATTCGCTTTATGTTCAGCCTGATCTTGGTACTCAGTAAGCAAATATGTTGAAATACATATTGCATGTCTGAAATGTCAGCTATCATGACAGCTAAGGAGTAATGCGAAAAATCATACGGGGTATAAAATATTCTTGTGTGATCTAGTCATCACAATATCCGCTTGCGAAAGATTTTGGGAAATTTTTTAATCTTGAAATTTTATTATAATTTTAAATTCATGAGCCTTTATTTAATTTTTTAGCATAAAATATTTCGTAAAAGAAATATTTCATAAAAACATCTCATCACATAAAATTCAAAATATCGTAACATCAATTTCATTAGTTTACAGGGGACGCAACAACGATATAATAGAAACCACTCATATTGAAACAAAATTTGAGTTTGGTTATAGAACTGGTTATGTATTGGTTATAACAGCAAAAGCTGAAAATTTTATTATATATGAAATATGCAGTCGTGAATCGAAAGCAATAAAAAACTCAATTTCGTTTCTTTGCATTTTGCATTTTAGATGACGATATGTTGCATAAAAACTTTATTCTTTCAATTAAACAAACCCGAATATAAATTTTACTTTTGAGTGGCATTTCAAATTGACCGCAATTATTATTTTGATATAACTTAACTTTATATTTATTTACTTTTTAAATAAGGGGTACAAAAATTGGTCCATTACACATAAGAACTTCTTCATATAGTGCATATGGTGTCAAAAGTTTTGGAAACTCATAAGTAATGCCGTTGAAGACACTAGAGCGGAAATATTCAGAGATTTTTTTGTTTAATATTTGTTAACAAGAAATAAGCTTCGAACACTCGCTCACCAATGTGATCTTCCCAATCCTTAACGACTTTTTACTTATACACAGACTTCGAAGAAGTTCGACTTCAGTACATATAATAATATTCGGTTGCTGCCGTATTTTCCGCGGCTAAAGAAGGTATACATTTACTTTAAATTAAAAAAAAAAAAAACTGTATATTCGATGGTATAAAGCTTCGGTTAGGCTGCTAAGCTTAGGAGCCACGCAGAGACCAGTTTAGGTACTTTTCGATACCAGATGGAGTTCTGTTACAAAGTCCGTGAGGAGTAGTCATCCTTTAGTATGAATTTTGACGTGAATTTCAACATATTCTGAAGCCTCACTAATTATTTTCTAAACCCTCAATCACAATTTTTTTGATTTTATAGAAATTTAATCAGAATTTTTTTCGATGGCATAGAGCTGAAATCAAATTGTCATTTGTCAAAAAATGAGAATACACTATTTGACTGACGAGTCAAATTAACGAACTATTGACAGTAATTATATGCTTAAAGCAGTTTGCGAGAGAATTTTGATGAAAGTTTTGAACTGCGACTACAGCGAACGTAAAAAAGTTCATTTACGTTTACATTTACATCCAAATCTAAATAGAAATAGAATTATAAGAAAGTTCAAGCTAGATTTGTTTACATTATGTAAACAAAGGCTTGATAAAGCAGAAAATAGATCACAAAAAACCCTCTCAAAACCAACCAGCAAAGAACGATATTAAAAATGAAGCATACTTTTCAACGCGCTAAATCATAAAGCCACCGTTTTAGAGCTATTAACATTTTTTCTGAAATAATCACAATATCTAATAACATCGCTAACAGTTTCTACTCTCAAATTGGAAAAATATGAATATTTTTTTATTGGTAAATACATTATACTCAATTTATACCGCGCTTTACATTTCAAAATTCGAAAATCATTATTATAAATCATTATATATTTAGTAATATATTTTTGGCACAACAATGGCCTTTATCACCCCAATGTGATCACATACGTATACATATTTGCCTGTACGTTAGTACATATGTATGCTTGTCTCTACGTATTTAAAAATTAATGTCTTTCATATGCTTACGTGCTAGAATTTTATTTTCTCAGTCTAATTAATTGTAGGTAAAAAAACAAAATTAGCCACACACGCCTACATACATACGTACAACGTTAGCTACAAATGGGCGAGTAGGTGTTAGGTGACGTTAACCAAACACCGGGCGAATTTTATTCTTTCTTCAAGGAAATAAGCCAAATTATTTTTGGCCTACAAATTCCTACAATAACTCAGCTCACTTTTAAAGCAAATATTTAAACAAAAGATTTCACAAGCGCAAACAACACGTACAAATCTTATTTATTAATGTCATGGCTATATTTATAAGCAAAACTACATATGTGTTTGATGTTGCAATAATTTTTGTGCGGCAAATATTCGTCAGTGGCAGTAATATAAATAAATATGTCGCATTTGAGACTCAAATAAATTGTGAACATAAGAAAGATATTCAACAAAATTTGTCTGCTATGCAAATAGTAGAAATATTTAGAAAAATTCAGACACAAATGTAATTTTATTTATTTGAAAGTGCTCTGCACTATTTAAAAACAAATTTATATTGTACAATTGAGAGTTGGGTCTTAGCAATTTTATATGCACCTATTGAAAGATATATGTATGTATTGTTAAAAAAAGTATTTGTTTCCTAAAAATATTTTTTTTAATATTTTTGTTTTAATATTTGCTTTTTAATTTATATATTTTTTTATGCTAATATAATATTATAAAGTATATATATTTTTTTTCAAAACATAGGTGATTAAAAATTAAGAAATATATACTGAATTAAAAAATAAATGTAATAAAGAATATTATAATCCAGAGTGAAGGGTGAAATTCATAAATAATACTCTGAGAAGCTCGTCCTTTCATAGAAAAAAAACTTCCTTAAAATTACTTCTCATTAAATTTTGATTTCGTTCACAAAATGTTTTCAAATATATAGCAGTAGGAGGGATCGTATTTTCTTTATGAAAAACTGTAAAGCAGCACGTAACTATTCACGAATACGTAATATTATAAATATATCAAAGCAGCAACAATACATATTGATACATTTACTAGCGCAAGATTCGATCGTAAGAAGGCCGAGTCACAGATATTTGCAATTTACGAATTCTCTCCAAACGAATACCATTGCACACTTACGCATATAAATCTCTCAATAAAGCTGAAGACAGAAAAAAAACATACTTCCAGTACAACAATAAAAATTCACATATACAGTGCCACATATACGTATAAACGCACTCTTAGTTTTAATTTTGCTAACTTCTCTCTTTCTTTGCATTGCACTAATTACAACAAATTCTCTCTCATATTGTTTGTTAAACTAATGGAATTTCGTATTGAGTGCAAATCCCCACTTTTGTTGTTGTTGTTATATTTAAATCGTTGCATTTTAAATCAAA